GTTATCAGGGCATCAGCAAGGAAGGAAGTGCCCAAGGAGGTGATCTGGGCTTGGCCGACCAGAGAAAAAGAGCAATGCTCGAAATCACTGCGCCTACTCCCTCTTGAGGGATCTCAGTACAGTTAGAGCGATTCTTTCCACACTCACCCCACGGGTGTCATCTTCTGGACGGCTTCTTAAAAGAGATTTCTGAGATTTCCTGGAGTTTCTACTTGCAAGTAGGCCTGGGTCAGACCCTAAGAATTCACATTTCTCCCAAGTTCCCGGGAGGTGCTCAGACCACAGGTCTTGGGGACCATATTTGAGAATCACTGAACCAAAGAAATTTCATGTCCACATGCTCCGAAAAATACTACACTCTTTCCACGTTCCTACCTCCCTCTGCCCACTGCACAGGCAGCGCACAAAGACACATATGATTCTATTCTAACTCAACTACAGAGTCCCAGGGTTTTAGTGTGAAGCTTATCTTTGTAATGAGCTGCTTTTGAGTGACCACAGCCTGAGGGTGGGGGTGAGGGGACAGGGTGTGGTGGGTGTAAGGAGGGCTGGAGGGACAAGAAGGCAGTTAGAGATGCCTGCTTGGACTCACCAAGAGGTGCTGTGGGGAGAGGGGTGAGGCTTGGAGAGCGGTCCTGGATAAGAAGGGTAGCCCATGGGGGAATCAATCGAGAAGCCAGGGGCTGGTCTGGGGAGGACGATGAAGGATCAGATTTAAAGGTTAAAGCCAAGACAAGCTGGATTCAGTGATTAACCAGGACACCTTGAAGTGTCTTTTTAGAAATGTGGTTTGTCCCTCCCAGAATTCATTACAGCCACATCCAGTAAAGTGGCTTTACCACTATAGGTGCTCAAGTCCCTCTAGGGAGAGGGAGTGAAGGAGAGAGAGCATGGTCCCAAGGACAAACTTGCCCATCCCTTGGGAGGTGCCAGTGAAGAGTGGTCTCCTCGACTCCTCCACCACCTCCCGTCTGGTATTGCACAAGCACTGGCTGCCCTGGGCTGACTCCACTGCCCCAGCCAACCCCCCCCCCCGCCCCCCACCCCTGCTGCTGCCTCATCTCCTCTGTGTCCCCCCCCGCCCACTGCAGCTCTTCCTTCCCCAATGGGCTCTTCCTCTCCCCCTCTCCCTGCAGCAATCACAGAAGGCAACTGTTGCCGTGATTAATCGTGATTAATCACCATCCTGGTGGCCCATGCTCGAGGGCCATGAGACCCCGGCCAGGGTCAAGGGGAAATGATCGTTACGACAAGATCGTGACAGCAAGGGTGTCAGACTTGTTTTTCAACTGAATGGGGCACCAACTGCCTCTGAGGAGGGAAACTGCACAGAGGCTGGCCTTTGGTGCAGCTGGAGAAAAGTCACAGAACTGGGCAGACCCATGGGGCGCTAAACTATAAGCTCACAGCATCTAAATTCAGCTGCGCCCTCTCTGCCTCCTGATTGTCTCTAATTCACCCCCATGGTGCCCCGTCCGGTTTCCCCTGACTGTTCTAGGTCCCCTCCTCTCCAAGCCCTCCCTTCCCATCTACAGGAGATCCAGGGATTCGGGTAAATGCCTTCCATTCGTCCCCCTCTCCCAGCACACTCTCTCTGCCCGACTCTGCACGCGCACCCTGTGACAAGGGGCAGCACAAAGAGCATGGCCTCAGTTATCTCATTGGTACAGTTGTGTTTGACTTCGCCTTTGGCACCTTCAGCCTCCTTCTTGTGACCCCCTCCCCCCTATGGGGAATAGATGTGGGTGTGATCCAGCCGGACCAATCACACTACTCCACCATGACAACAGTGATTGCCCAGGGGTGTGCATGTGATTGGAGATGGACCAGTCAGAGCCCTTCTCTGGAATTTTACCGTCTCCAGCTAGTGGGAACCAGTTCTTGCCTCTCTGCTTTTGAGGCTGTGAGAATGTGAACCAGAGGCTGCCTGCACTCACGTTCCCTGATGCCTGGAGAAAGCCCACCTACAGGATAGGAGAAAGCAACAAGCACCCAGAAGGATAGAGAAAGGCATTGGGACATTGGAGTTCCTGGATCCAGCTGTCCCTGAGCTAAGATCTACTGTTGCTCATTATGGTTCTGGTTGGTTTCTGTCACTTACAACTCAAAGTGCTGACCAATGCATGTGACGCTCATTGTCTCCCTTCATGTGGTGGCTGTGAGATCTTCCATACGAAGTGCTTAGTGAATGATCAATCACTGAGTGGATGCTCAATCCACTGTACCTGTTGGTCCCTGCCCGTGATGTCCTCAGCACCATTCATCTCTGCCTTCAGCTCCCCACCTAGGCCAGTGCCTCGTCATTCCCCTGGTCTACCCGGCTAACGATCTAGAACCATATTCCTTTCCTTCATTCGAGTACTGCTCACCCCACGTCCACTTGTCCCATAGAGTTGCCCTCAGGTCTTTCCTTCATCATCATTCCACCTGCCACTGTCCGAGTCCGAGTCACTCATTCACACATTCAACAAGCTTTAACTGAGGGCAGATTACAGGCTGGGCAATGGGCTGGCCCTGTGGACAGGTCAGCAGGCAAGACAGACATCATCCGCCTGGCACTCTTTCCTCTGTCTTGGCCTTCCTTGAGTACCTGTCAGGCTAACTGACCTTGATTCTACTTTCATGTTACTCTTCTTTTTTGTTTTTCTTTTTTAAGATTTTATTTATTCATGAGACACATAGAGAGAGGCAGAGACACTAACAGGCTCCACGCAGGAAGCCCAACACAGGACTCGATCCTGGGCCTCCAGGATCATGCCCTGGGCTGAAGGCGGCACTAAACCGCTGAGCCACCCAGGCTGCCCTCATATTACTCTTCTTAATAACATTCCTGGTTCTCCATTTCCTAGCTCATCAAATCTCAGTGTCAATGGTTGGCCTTCACAAGTCTTCCACAATCTGCCTCCAAATACTATGTATATAATAATACCACTAATAGTAGAATGAGAAGAAGCTGCCACCAGTTGTGGCGTCCTTCCTGTGGGCAGAAACTGTGCTAATCGCTTTATAGGCATTAGCTCACGACCTGAGGATTCTACTCCTGATCAGCACAGGCACCAACTATCAGGGAGGACCCTGATGTCACGCCAGGATAGGCAAACCAGCTCTGTTCACAGCCATCCAGAAAGGTGGGTGCATGACCCTCAGTTTACAAATGTGTGAGACACATTAGGGTGAAGGGTCATGCCCAGGATCACACAGCTGATAAACAGAAGCACCAGGATTAAAACCCAGGAGTCTCTAAGTCCAGAGCTTTCACCCCATCCCAGAGGGCCTCCCTAAATCCCCACTACACACCTGGGTTCTTCCCTGCAATTTAAATAGGCCACACTCCTGCTCTCCTCATTCATTCACTCCTATAGCCATTGGGAGGCTTCCCTTTCGAACCATAACCTGTGTAAGAGGAGGGACCTCCATGGGCGCAGAGACTACGTCATTTCTGCCATTGCAATATCCCTGGTACTTGGCACATTATCTAGGATGTCATGGTGCTCAGCAAATATTTGTTAGATGAATGAACCCATGCAAAGAATCATTGGAAAGAACCAGTAACTGATTCCACAGTCAAGCCCCTGGAGTCACGGGGCAGTGTGGGCTGCAATATTGTTTGTGGCGGTGGTTAATATTTAATACTCAGCCACCAGGCCAGGCCTGAATTCCCACAAGACACACTGAGAATCTTGATTCCCTGCAGAATAGCTGACCTGGAGTCAGGGGAACTCTAGGTTCGAATCCCAGCTCTGTGATCTTGGGTGTGTTTAGCTTCTATGAGCCTTAGTTTCCTTCCCCGAGATATAAAACTGCCTTGAGGGGTTATAAGGGTCAATGGACAAAATTCTTCACTACCCTTTCACATACTAGCACTCATTTAAAGTTCCTTCTCCTGCTCAAAGAGGTTGAAGACCCAGGTGATTCGTGAGACCGGACAGAACCTCAAAGATGAGACACAACATGAACAGCAAGGGCCCCCACACAAGGGGAGATGAGGGCCCCCAGCCAGCCTCACAGCTGAGCGGCAGTGGGGGCAAGTGGCTCCCCACTGGAGGTTATCGATTAGATGTACACACATGAACCTCTGTCCCTTTAAATAGCTGTGTCATTGCCAAGTAGAGGCGGATTCTGGGCAGCAGGGCTGGGTGTCCCCATCCTTCCCCGCTGTGCCAATCCTCCTCTGCCCTCGGAGTGGTGGGGAGGGGCATGGTTTCCCGGCCACTTCCTCACCCCGCTCCCCACTGTTTTGAATGAGAATGCCTCTTAGCCTAGCAAAAACAAGTCTGAACTTTTGTTCAAGGAAGCTTTTCTATAAAACCAACAAACCAAAGAAGAGGAGCTTAGGAACAGATCTGTGCTGACTCCCATTCCCACCATCCGCGCTCTGGCCCTCCCCAGGCCAGCACTCATTATTGCTGGTCACCTAAACTTCGCCAGGCTTCTTTCCCCCAAGATCCCCTGTGAGGCTGGAACTCCCACTAACCAGTCACCCTCTGCTGGCCGTGGGCTCTTGGGTTTCTTTCCTCTCCCAGTAGGTGATGGGAAGAAAGCAGGGTTTGGGGTACACCAGCCTTGGGTTCCACCACCAGCGCCCCTGCGTGACCTTGAGCAAGCTGTGTCACCCTCTCTGGGCCTCAGTTTCTTTATTGAAAAGTGAGCCTCGGGATCCCTGGGTGGCACAGCGGTTTGGCGCCTGCCTTTGGCCCAGGGCATGATCCTGGAGACCCGGGATCGAATCCCACGTCAGGCTCCCAGTGCATGGAGCCTGCTTATCCCTCTGCCTGTGTCTCTGCCTCTCTCTCTCTCTCTCTCTCTCTCTCTCTCTCTCCCCTTTCTGTGCCTCTCATGAATAAATAAAATATCTTAAAAAGAGAAAAGCATTGAAAAGCCGCTGCATCTGAGCAGCACCTGCACCCCCAGGTCCGGGACGGCAGCAGGCGGGGGTGAGGGGCGGGAGGGGCGCTGCCAGCGTTCTCGGGGTGCGGGCCGGGGCACCGGGGCGCCCTTACCGGAGAAGATCCTCCCGTCCTGAGTGAGGATCGCGGCCCCCACGGGGAAGTGACTGTAGGGGCAGTAGGCGGACTTCTTGGCCTCCTGGCAGGAGAGCAGCAGCCGCTGCACGAGCTCGGGCTCCAGGGCGCTGGCGGGACGCTCGTGGGCCATGTCGGTCCCGCGGGTGGCGGAGGCGCGGAAGCCCGCTCGCTGCTGCTGCCCGCCGGCGACTCCACGCTGGCTCCTCCCCCGGGGCGAGTCCCTGGGGGGGGGGAGGAGCCGCCCCCAGCCCCACCCCCGGAGCGCCCCGTGATGTCACCGGCTCCTCTATCCCTGCTCCCTATACGCACGTGACCTCATTCCATCCTCACGACAACTCTGCAAGACACGGTGAGTGCACCCACTTTACAGATGGGGAACCTGAGGCTGCAGAGACAGGTGGTGATTAATCTCCTAAGGTCACATGGCTAATCAGCGGAAGAACTGGAAGGACGCCACTGTGCACGTGTGCTCACCCCCTCTGTCCCGGGACCACTCGTGTGTGTGTGTGTGTGTGTGTGTGTGTGTGTGTGTGTCACGGTGCCGACGAGGGCGAGTGGGTCAGGGCGTGGCTGCCCCCCCCCCCCGGTGTAGGGGGAGACTGTGCACACGTGCTCCTCAAGGAAGAGAGGGTCAGTGCGAAGTCTGGGCAGTACAAGCTCCAAGGGTTGAAATGCCCCTCAGTTTGTTGAATGACTCTCCTTCACCGGGGGATGTGATGAGGCTGAAAGGGCAGAGCTGGGGCAGCCACTCTGGCTTCCTGAGGCAGGGAGTGTGAGACAAAGCAGTAAGACCAAATTGCTTCTTTATTTTCACCCATTCTCCTTCTGACTTCTGTCTTAACCCAGAATTTAAAAGTATCTCAGGTGGAGGGAACCTCTGAGGTGGTCTACTCGGGCGTCCTCATTTTTCTGTTGGGAACATAAGCATTGGGTTGGTGGCTAAAGAAATGGGTTTGCATACCGGCACCGCCGCTTTCCACATGTGCAACCCCTGGCCGGTTCTTTGACCTCTCTGAGCTAGTTTCCTATCCCTACAGTGAGGATCGTGACCATCTCTCTTCTACTTCCTTGGATTATAGGAGAGCTTGAACTTTGGAGTTTAGTAGACTCTAGTTTGAATTCCAGTTCTTCCATTGATTAGCCATGTGACCTTAGGAGATTAATCACCACCTGTCTCTGCAGCCTCAGGTTCCCCATCTGTAAAGTGGGTGCACTCACCATATCTTGCAGAGTTGTCGTGAGGATCGAATGAGATCATGTGTGTATAGGGAGCACAGTTAGAGAATCCGGTGACATCATGACAGGACCGCTCTTTGTGACTTCCTGCAGACTGTCACTAAGGGACTTGGCCCAGATCACATAGGAAATGCAGAACACCAGCTGGAGCGTCCAGAGGCGTCTGAATGTCTGAGACACCCCCACCCCCACCCCTAGCAAGTGGGGGTGAATCAGCAGCTTCTCTGAGGGCTCGGATGGAGGGCGGGGCAGGGCAGGGGGGTTAGGTGGCACAGGGGGAGAAACGAGGCAGCGTGTCCATATCCTGCATGCTAACATCTCAGGCAAAACAGGTACAGCCCAGCATCTCTGTGTCCTGTAGCCTGGAGCTCTCGCCCCATAGAGATATAGGCAAACACCTAGCTGGGCAAAGTCGGCTTCATTTTCCTCTCCCTCCCCTCCCTCGTCCCATCAGCCCCCTCTTCTATATATCCAGCCCCCAGAGAAGCAGCTGGTTCCTTCCTGCCCGCTGTTGCAAGTTGCTTCTGGTTCTACACACTTGGCATCTAGAGCAGCTTCCTGGATCTGAAGCAGGGCTGGCAGGGAAACCAGCTCTAATGTCCCCCCAGCTTCTCTATCGCTGCACCACCCAGTTACCCCAAAGGTCTATGTCCGGAGTTTCCAGGAAAGAAAACAAAGGCTGTCTGGGGAGCATGTGCACCCACTCCACATGGAAATAATTCTGAAGCTTTTGGAGCCAAGTAAAATTGCAATGGGAAAAGAGATACAGATAATGCTGGCCTGTCAAGCCTGAGACCTCCCGGGCAGTGCTGTTCCTGTCCCCTGCCCTGTCTGGACTCACTTTTGCTAAGCCCAGCCCTACCCAGGACTGGGGCTGGACTCCTTGGCTCCATAGCATCAGGAGAACTTGGGTGGCCTCCATGAAAATTATGGCCTTGGCCCTTTCAAAGCTCTTTCCCTACACTTGATCACAAATGGGGACAGTGTCCATTGCAAAGCCAGCTGAATGGGGCTGGGGAGCCAGTAGTAATTCTAGAATTCCTGATACAAGGGGCTTGGAGTGACCATCTGGAAGGGGAGAGTGGGTCTGGAAACATTTACAGAGCTAAGTTTTAGATCAATAATATTAAGAACATTTTCTAAACATGCTCTAATCTCCACTCAATGTAAAATTAAGAAAAGTTAATTCCCCAGCTCAAAGAATAGAATATGTAAGCAAGGTGTTTTGAGTGGTGGTGGAGATCCTCAGGGCCCAAAGCCCTTCCCTCCAGCCCCAAGCCTTTCCTCTGTGAGGAGAACCATCCAGAATCCTCTGTTAGAGTTCAGATACCATTAACTCACTGCTTTGTTCAATGACTAGTTACTCATAATAACAGCTAACTCTTATGAATCTCCTTACATGTGCCCAGCCCTGTGTGAAACACATGATTTGAATCATTTATGTTATCCTTACCACAAGGTAGATGCAGGCAATACTACGTGCCATGTTTTACAGGTGGAGATGAGTAAGGGATAGGTGGGGTGAGGTAGGGAGGGATAGGTAAGGGACTACACGATCAGCCTCACCCCAAATCCCAGAAATGCTGAGATGTAAGAAAACCAGAGATAAGGAAACAAACCAGACCACCTGCCCTGGGCCTCAGAGGTGGCGTCTTTTTATGGCAGTCACATCGTGGCCACAAAGAATAACCAAACCCCAAAGAAAATATAAGCCATTCAAGATGTTGTCAGCAGTCCTTATTCAAACCAGGACATCACAAGACTGTTAAGGCCACAAGCTCCCTGGTCAGTCCTAAGTAAAAGACTGTTGGTGGAGGCCCACGTTGGCAACCTGGTCGGGACCCTGTCACTGCTGAGAACTTTTTCTGTACCCTTGGTTCATAAAACTGTATGGCTCTGCTCACTCTCCTTTGTCTGTGAGATTCATTCTTTGATTCCATGAGACAAGAACCTCACTCTCTTGATTCGAGGACACTTGAACTTATGGAGATCAGAAGGGAATCTCAAACCTGAGTCTGTTTGCCTCCATCTGAAGGGCTATAGTTTGTCCCAGAACTCACAGAAAACTGGCATAATAGACCAACTAGGGGTGCAGGCCTTGACGTCCAATCAGTCAGTTTGAATCCTCCTTCTGCCTTTTATTACCAGCTGGGCACCTAGGCTGGTTAGCTCATCACTTGGTGCCCCTCTTTCCTCATTTATACAAGGGGCAGCTCTAGTATCCACTGTGGTGGATCATGGTGACTGGACTCATATTCTGCTCAGATAGATGTCTCATTTCTTTCATTGTGGTTCCTTTGGAGGAGACCTATTGGTGGGTTGCCAGTCATGGTGCTTCCGCTCCCTGGTAGGTATGGGCAGTTGACACAGGATGGCCAGCCAGGGACTTCGCTTTCCGGCTGAGTCAGCGGGAACGTTGCTTTCTCCCACCATGGTTATGAAGCTAGGATGATCTGATTATTGCTGACAGCTAGCTTGCCCTCTGGGTAGAGAAAGCCTGCTTGTAAAGTGAAGCCAGGTGGAAAAATGCAGAGCTGAGAGATGGAGGGGGAAAAAACCCTGATTTTTCTCTGGGCATCTGGATTTGGCCATGAAGACACACTTCTAGACTTCCTTTCATTTTTTTTTTAAAGATTTTATTTATTTATTCATGACACACACACACACACACACACACACAGAGAGAGAGAGAGAGAGAGAGAGAGGCAGAGAGACACAAGCAGAGGGAGAAGCAGGCCCCATGCAGGGAGCCTGACGTGGGACTTGATCCCGGGACTCCAGGATCACACCCTGGGCCAAAGGCAGGTGCTAAACCGCTGAGTCACTCAGGGATCCCCTAGACTTCCTTTCAATTGAACCAATAAATTCACTTCTTGCTTAAACTTGTTTAGGTTTTGTTTCTGGCAACCCCTTGGCATCTAAGCTAACATACTACTTCCTAGGATTGTTGTAAAAGATCAAGTTAGGTGCTATATGTAAAGCTCTTAGTTCAGTGACTAGCAAGTGTTAGTTCATATTATAAGAAGTACTGTGTGCCAGGCCCTGTGCAGGGCGCTGGGGAATTAGGGGTGAATAAGACCTGGAAACGGCCCTGGAGGACTTCATGCTATAGCAAAGGAGACAGATGAATCAGCGGATGGGTGTAAAGCACTCTAACACACAAGTAGCTACTGGGGCTTGTGGCAAAACTGACTGTGTCTGGAGGGAGTGGTGGTAGGTGGGTTGGAGAAAGCTTCCTAAGCAACAGGAGTATTAAATGGTGGGTGGATGCAATAGCCAAACTATGGAAAGAGCCCAGATGTCCAGTACCAGATGAATGGAGAGAGATATGGTATATATATATCCAATGGAATACTACTTAGCCATCAAGAAAAATGAAAGCTTGCCATTTGCAGCAATGTGGATGGAACTAGCAGGTTTTAAGCTAAGCAAAATAAGTCAATCAGAGAAAGACAAGTATCATATGATCTCACTCATCTGGAATTTAAGAAACAGAACAGAAGATCACAGGGGAAGGGAGGGGGAAAATAAAACAAGATGAAATCACCTCCAGCTTCAGTGGGCCGTTCCTGGACATACCTCTGGCTTCCTACCTTAAGCATACCCTTGAGTGTACAGGAGTGTGCTCAGCCCTGCACAGGGTAGGCTAGAAGTGTAGGGGAGCTAACACCTCCTAGAGGGATTAGGATCCATAATGCATCAAGAATTCCTAAAACCAGTAGGGAAATGGCAAGTATCCTGTAATATTTTCATTTATAGTAAGAAATACGTACTTGGTCTTTGACTCTGTTCTTGGCACGGAGCCCTGGAAATCCTTGGAATTTCCTAAGTGATGAGGGGTGTCTTTGATTATGTTAATGAGGTGACTTTGGGACCCTACCTGAGGATGAAGGCTGCTTGCCGGGGAATAATATCATGATTAGAGGGTTAGAGCTTTCAGTTCTATCCCCT